CTGGTAGTTTCGTACTGCTGACCTTAAGGTTCGCAGCCCGATTCGTAACCACTACGCTACCAGAGCTCCTACAGTGTCACACTAGGACTCATTATTTCTATTGTTAAGTGCCGTTGAGTCGGTTCTGACTCATAGTAACCCTGTATAGGATTTCCAAGGAACAGCTCGTGAGCTTGAATTGCCGACCTTGAGGTTCAAGCCAGTCAACTTTCCAGTCCAGCACATTAGCCCACAGCACCACACCAGGACTCTGGACTCCAGTATGCTGCATTAAACAAAAATTTGTTTTGTCTGTTAATAATAAGCCAGAGTAATTTTCAAAATATAAATATAATAAAAGTAGCTAACATTTTTTTGAATATTAATTAGGGGACTTCAGATAATTTGTGGAAAAATTCCATTATCTTTCCATTCCATATTTTTCACAAACGATTTGAAGCCTCCTCGTATGTTTTATTGTTTCAGATCTTCATAGTAACCTTATTGTTGTTGTTTAGAAGTGCCTGCCGTCAAGTTGGTTCCGACTCATAGGGAACCTGTATAGGGCTTCCAAGAAGCAGCTGGTGAGCTTGAACTGCTGACCTTGCTGTGTGCTGTGGAGTTGGTTCCGACTCATAACGACCCTGTACCCACATAGGGTTTCCAAGACTAAATTTTTATGGGAGCAGAAAGCCTCATCTTCTGTGGAACAGCTGGTAATTTTGAACTGCTAACCTTGTGGTTCGCAAACCAATTCGTAACTACTACCCTACCAGAGCTCCTTAGTAACCTTATGAGGGAGGGATTATTGCTTTACATATTTTATAGATAAGGAATTTGTGGCTCAGAGGGAATAAATAAGCTATGTAATGTTTCCAACATTACTAAGCTAGTTAAGTGTTAAATCATGGAATTCAGTGCCTGGTCTGTGTGACTCCAAAGCTCATGTCCGTAACTGTTATGTTGTACTGCCTTTTATGATTGATTCCCCATATAAATATCATATCATATTCTTCATCATGTTCTAAAGCAACTGGGTGACCATACCCAAGGAAGTTTATCGTATATTGATATTCAAATTTTATGCTTATAGTTAGGACCTTCCTTGATCTGATTTTCGCCAGTTGTGTTCTTCATTATTTGAATGCAGTTCAGAGAATCTGATCAAAGACCTTTGAATATAAACAATTTAGGCAGCCAAACTCTTTCCAGGAAACTTCTTTTACTAGTTGATGACTGTAAGCAGTTGGAGTTTTATTTAAGTTGTACAACTGGCTATTTTAGGTCAGAAATGCAAAACAATTGCTGACAAACCAATTAAATGCAATAATTCCTACTCCCATTCCCAAATCTCAAGAGAGTCATAGTACATAACTTTGACTTGGTTGTATTACTTGCTGAAAAACATTTCAGCTGAACAACATTTCAGCGAGTAATACAACCAAGTCGAGATTATGAAAACACACGTGGAATAGTTATTTCCATGTAATCTCGTGAACCTGTAAATTTGGCCTCTTGGTCCCATTGACTGGGCTAACCCTTTCCTCCCTGAGTAGCATCCTGGATTTTTGCTGTTTGGTGTGAGTGACCTCCAGGCTTTGCTTATCTTCCATATCATCTGCATGTAGAACTAGTAATTTTTTGCTAGCTGTTTTTAATTTGTAAGTACTGTAGAATTTTATTAGAATGGAACTTCACAGGTAGTGAAGAATATTTGCAAAGGATCCACTTACTATTCTATGCAGTTTTTGTGAAGGCAGTTAATAAAAAGAGAATTAAAGTTAATATTACCTATAACCTGGGTATAAGCTGACCGTTGCCTTCTTTTTTGTGAACTTTGAACTGTTGACTGTACTTGTACTTACCTTTCCACTTACTTTCACTATTTCTGTGGAGAGTTAGAAATGGGAATGGGGTGAACAAGGCTTTTTTTGGAAGTGTTCTTCTTGTCAACCAAGGCAGTTCATGACTGACTCTCTCCATTTGTTTCAGTGAACAACCTATCCCGCTCCAAGTATTGTTGAGCCAAGAGGCCCAGCCGGAACCGTGCACAGACACAGAGTTCGGGGCCAGTTCTTTCTTCCACTCACCTGCTTCCTGCCATGAGTCACACTCATCATTGCTCCCAGAGATACCTGCCCCATCTGCCCCACAGCACAGCTCTTCTAATAGATCTGCCTCAAGCCTTCCGACTTTGGTTGCGGCAGATAGCGTTGACCCTTCTGCATTCCACAGTCAAGACTTACTGAAAACACCAGGGAGGACTGCAAAGAATTCTTACCATGGTTGGGAGCCATTAGCCACCCCACAATGTAAGCTGCAAGGCTCTAGAGGTGACAACAGCGGTTGTAGCAGGTGCCCCCCACAGGAAGGAAGAGCCACTGCTCAAGAACAACTGTTTCAAGAAAAGAGGGTTACTGCTGATCCATCCATGGTGCTGCCTTGGTCACACCCGGCTGGAACAGCCCCCTCTGTAAGAGGTGGAGCACATAGTCCTCCAAGTTCATCATCTCAGCCAAGTCTTCCCCGGTTCAGGGACTGCTACCCCATAATGCCTGCTACTTCTTCATTTGTGCTTCTCTCTCCTGATCCTGTGCAGAAAACTAACCAATGCCTCCAAGCCCAAAGTCCCCAAACTTCATTGACTTCAAAAGTGGGTGGAGGCAGTGAGGAGCCCTGTAAGGCAGAGTTTCCCAGCACAAAGGGGCTTGTCCGCTCTCTGGCAGAGCAGTTCCAGAGGATGCAAGCTACTGCCACAAAGGATGGCATAGATTCCCAGGATAGAAGTTTGCCAAATAATGTAAGAAAGAATTCTTCCCCTTCTGAATCTAAGTCCTTTTCCTCACCGGATCAAGGGAAAGGCCACTGGTCTTGGGCAAAAGAGCCACCCTACCGGGATGGTAGGGACCGACTACCTTCTTGGGAAAAGCCCAGTGACCATCAATCTCTGGTCAGGAACTCGGGGTTGTCTGCTGGTGAAACTTCTAGGGGAGGACAGTCCAGGTTGGTAGAGTCGGGTACATACAAAGGGAAGCCATCCCAAGTGACAGATGTTAGACCTAAGGAGTTGGACAACCGTGTTGATTTGGGGACTTCCTTGCCTTTGGATTCCTGGGTGAATGCCACAAAGCTGTACGATTCTCAACTTAAATATGGGGTCCCTGGGCCAGAAATGAAGTCCTTCCCCCACGACTCCCATGCCTATCCAGAGAGAAACCACATCCTTTTGCATCCACATTGGAACCAAGACACCGAGCAGGAGACCTCAGAATTGGAATCTCTCTACCAGGCCAGTCTCCAGACTTCTCAAGCTGGCTCTTCTAAATGGGGGCATCAGGATGTGCCCTGGCACCCATTTAGCCAAACCGGTAAGCCAAACAGGGGCCTATAAAAGATAAAACAGGAGGACAAAATCAGAAGGAACTGCTGGTCTGTCTAAAGAAAGAATCCTTAACTCAGCAGAACCCAAGCTTCAAACTGGTTCTTTCTGTTTCAGTCATGGCTGACAAAGCCTCATCGGAATGAACCTAAATTTATAAATTTTGTATGTACTAGATTAATAACTGGAATGGGAAAAAGTATGGGTCAATGACCTGTTTGGAATGTAATATCCTTCTTAGTAAACAAGGGCAGAGTATGTGTTGAATGCCAACCAAATCTCTTGACTGGCAGAATCTGAAACAGTGGTGCCCAGCTCAAAGATGGCAACAGACTGTAATGCTTTGAATGTATGCCACTCTTCACAGCCCTCGCAATAATCCTGTCTCGCACATTACGCTCCAGAAAGGGCTCACTATACCTCTTCTAAGTCTCCCATTCCCAGCCTTTGAGCTATAATTTTACCTGTTCCAGCTATCGTGATTGACTGGTCCAGTTAGAAGCTCTGCTTGTGAGTCATATATCCAGTTTGGAACAGGTTGTCTCTGAGCAATCTAACAAGATTTTGAGGAGGCAATAAGCATCTAGTGGTTGTTTAGAATGTAAATGGTCAAGAGAAGCTAATGAAAGAAAACATAAGAGCGTTGCTGTTGTTGTTGTTATTGTTAAATGCCATTGCGTTGATTCCAACTCATAGTGACGCTGTGTAGGGTTTCCGAGGATTTAAATCTTTGTGGGAGCGGAAAACCTCATCTTTTTCCCAAAGCGCAGCTGGAGGGCTCAATCTGCAGACCTTGTGGTTCACAGTCCATTGCTGATCTCACGGAGTCAACAGTCTTACCTCATTGCCGTCACACATGTAAAATGTTGGTGAAGTACCCTCGCTCATAATTCTCTAGGTAAGGCCATCATAGTGCTATAATCAGGAAAGTAGCATTTTAACAGTGGTGAAGCTACTACCTATCTGTCAGACCCTAGAACTTTATGTAAAGTGAGGTTTGACTGTTGATAATTTCCATTCTGGACTAGTCTGTTAGCCATATAGACCCTCTAGGGAGAAAGCTGGAGCCCTGGTGTGGCATGGTGCTGCAGGATAATGCCTTGCATCGCAAGGTCAGTTTGAAGCTCAGGGTCGAGTGTTCACATCCACCTGCCACTCCTCAGAAACCCTATACAGGGTAGCTATGAGCTGAAACCGACTCGATGGCACATAACAACAGGGAATTACCTTGCTTGATAATTTCCTCTGTCAAGACGTGGACAGAAGCTGATTGTGTTTACAAAAATGAAATAAGATGAGGATATCCAGCTGCCTGTCCACAAAGCTCCTTCTCCACAAGGTTCTTCAAGGACTGCGATCTGAGACCCTTGTGGCCTAGAGGAAGCTAGCCATATTTTGAAACTTCTTTCTGTTCCTTCATTCTAGGCGCACATCCTCCATTGGATTCAGGGGTATCTGCTTGTTATTTCATGAACCAAGAACTCATGAATTTGTGCAGCCATGCTCAGGGGACAAGGTGGCTTCAACTTGTATTTATGTGTTCCTTCTCAGGCGCTGCAGATGGCATGGGGAGGAAGCTGCACTCAGCCCCTGGCCTTGGTCTGTCCAAGACCCCAACAGCGGAAATGGAGCATGGTCTCTGTGAAGCCAACACAGTGCCTGCTTCTCAGGTAGTAGCCTCACATTCTAAGGTCTGGCATGGGGTGTTGTGGTGGGGACTAGAGATGTGGAGAGATGTGAGTTGGAGAGTTGACAGAATGAGAGTTGTCTGTATACGATTGCGCTACACAGGAGATTGTGAAGACTTAAAAAGTCTTGGAAACCCTAAACAGGGTTGCTATGAGTTGGAACCAACTCAATGGCACTTAACAATGATTTGGCTATGAAGCCTTGATGACACAGTGGTTAAGCATTTAACTGCTAACTGAACGTTTGATGGCTCAAATCTACCAGCTGCTCAGAGGGACAGAGATGTGGCAATCTTGTTTCCATAAAGCTTGTAGCCTTGGTAACCCTATAAGACAGTTTGACTTTGTGCTATAGAACCGCTATGAATTGGGATTTGTGCTCTTGGGCTTTGGTTTAGATGATTGGTTTATTTGACTGAGAGGAGATTACCACATGACCACTACCTTTCAAACACATCAAATTCAGGTCCTTGCTAGTGAATCATCCCCTTTTCTCTCTTTTATACCTGAGCACATAGGTCTGGTATTATGTGCCTACCTGTGTGTGTTTGTGTGTTTCAAGGCTATAAAGTCTGTCTATTCAGAGCATCTGCCTTTCTTTGTTCTGGAAGAATAAAATGCTGGTGAAGGAACAGGGAGAAACCGAAGATTGTAATGTGGGGGAAAGTCATGCATCCTAAAAAAATGAGGACACACAGTCGATATTTTATTGGTGCACGTTCATTTGGAACCCAGAGTAATGTCCCATGTCTGTAGCACTTCTGGAAGGGTGAGAAGTCTCTGAGAAGCAAAGGCTGCTTATTGGGCTGGAAACCACTGAACTAATCAAAGGAAGAAGGAAAGAACTAGATGGAGTACTATTTTCCCTTTTCCTTCTCTACCCCAATAAATAGACTGAGTGGGATCCAAGCTAAAGTGAAACATGTGGATTAGCAAGACAAGGGAAATAACTTAAGACCCTCCTTGAGGTTTTTTACTTGGTAGATGTATAGGTAGATAGAGAAATGGATGCATGGATAGCGATCTGGTTGTTATCAAGTCAACTCTAACTCATGGTGACTTTATGTAGAACAGAACAAAACATGACCTAGACCTGTATTACCCTCACAAGCGCTTGTCCCAGCCCATCAACAAGGTTGTTGTGCCAGTCCTCATTGAAGGTCTCCCTTGTCTTCACTGGCCCTCTTCTTTACCAAAGTAAAGATGGGGCCTTTCTCTAGAAACTGACCCTTCCTGATGATATGTCCAAAGACAACAGTCTTCCATTGTGATGTATATGTTTAGGTTTTCATTGGCTAATTTTTGTAAGTAGATCACCAGCACTTTCTTCTTACTCTGTCTTAAGCTGGAAGCTCCACTAAAGCCTGTTCACCAAGGTGAACTCTATTGATATTAAAATACCAGTGGCATCACAGCAACACACAAGCCACCACAGTACAAAAAAATGACAGATGGGTGCTAGTTTCACATAGTACTAATGCTGTAATCTATACATGGAAGGAACAAGAAAACACAAGTCAGAAGAGATCAACACACTCAAATACTGTCAGTAGCTGGGTTTGGTAGTTGTTAGAATTCCACATACTTGCTTAAGACAGGTTGATTTTTCTTCTCCACCAGGTCAGTTAAATAAAAAATTAAAAACAGGCAATACATGGTACAAAAGAATTAATTTTATTAGGTGCCATCAAGTTAGTCTGACTTATGTACAACACTATGCACAACAGGACAAAATACCACCTGGTCATGCACCATCCTCACAGTCATTAAATTTGAACCCATTGCTGTTGCCACTGTATCGATTTTTAAAAGAGGGTCTTCTTTCTTTCTCACTAACGCTCCATTTTATGAAGCATGATGACTTTTTCCCGGGACTGGTCCCTCCTGATAACATATCCAAAGTATGAGAGACGAAGGCTTACCAGCCTTTCTTTTCAGGAGCATTCTGACTGCACTTATGCCAAGATAGATTTCTTTGTTCTTCTGGCAGTATGTGGTACTTTTGATTTTCTTCTCCGACACTAGGATTTTAGTATGTCCATTCTTCTACAGTCTTCCTTATTCATTGTCCAACTTTCACATGCATATGAGGTGACTGAAAATACCATGGTTTGAGTCAGGTGCACTTTATCCCTCAAATTGATATCTTTGTTCTTTAATACTTTAAAGAGGTCTTTTGTAGCAGATTTGCCTGTTTCAATATGTCATTTGAGTTCTTGACTGCTGCTTCCATGAGCAGTGTGATTATAGATACAAGAAAAATGCAGTCTTTGACAACTTTTAATTCTTTCTCCTTTTATCATAATGTTATTTATTGGTTCAGTTGTGAGGATTTTTGTTTTCTTTACATTAAGATGCAATCCATACCGAAGGCTGTAGTCTTTGATCTTCATCATTAAGTATTCTAAGTCCTCTTCACTTCCAGCAAGGAAGGTATTGTCTACATGTCATAGGTTGTTAATGAGCCTTCTTCCTGTCCTGATGCCATGTTCTCCTTCATATAACCCAGCTTCTCGGATTAGTTGCTCAGCATACAGGTTGAATAATTATGGCAAAAGATTGCAATCCTGCTGAAGACTTTTCCTAACTTCAAACCATTCAGTATCCCCAGGTTCTGTTAAAATGACTGCCTCTTGGTCTATGTCCAGGTTCCTCATGAGCACAATTAAGAGTTCTGGAATTCCCATTCTTTGATATGTTATCCATAGCTTGTCATTACTTATATAGTCAGAAGCCTTTGCATAATCAATAAAGTACAAGTAAACATCTTTCTTTTATTCTCTGCTTTCAGAGATCCACCTGATATCAGTAATGATAGCTCTAGTTCCAAATCCTCTTCTGAATCTAGCTTGAATTTCTGGCAGCTCCCTGTCACTGAACTGTTGTGTTATCTTCAGCAAAATTTTACTTGCATGTGATATTAACGATATTGTTCAATGATTTCTGCATTCTGTTGGGTCATCTGTCTTTGAAATAGGCACAAATATAGATCTCTTCCAATTGGTCGGCCAGCTAGCTGTCTTCCAAGTTTCTTGGCATAGAGTGAGCATCTCCAGTGCTGCATCAGTTTGTTGAAAGATTTCAGCTTGTATTTCATTAATTCCTGGAGTCTCGTTTTTTGCCAATGCCTTCAGTATACCTTGGACTTCAGTACCATTGGTTCTTGGATCATATGCTACTTCTTGAAATGGTTGAACATTGACCATTTCTTATTGGTACAGTGACTCCGTATATTCCTTTCATCTTCTTTAGATGCTTTCTGCATCATTTAATATTTTGTCCCTAGAATCTGTCAATACTGCAATCTGAGGTTTGAATATTTTCTTCAGTTGCTACAGCTTGAGATATGCTGATTGTTCTTCCCTTTTGGTTTTCTAACTTCAGGTCTTTGCACATTTCATTTTATAATACTTGATTTTATCATCTTGAGCTGCCCTTTGACATTTTTCTATTCAAATCTTTTACTTCATCATTTCTTCCATTTGCTTTAGCTTCTTTATGCCCAAGAGCAAGTTTCAGAGTTTCCACTGATATCCATTTATTTTTTTAAAGGTTTTCA